TACAGAAAACGAGACAGAGCCCTGAGAGCCGTGACCGGGGTATCATGACTGCTTCTCCTGGGAGCCCCTGTTGGGATTTATAGTCTGGCTGCAGTAACCACAACAGTAGGATCCACCTGGGAGTTCCTGAGTCTTCTATTAAGATATCTTTCACTCACATATTGAATTTTGAGACTTTTTAGTGCTTCACGGGGAGCTGCAGCCACCCTGACAGATGACTAAGTGACTGAGAAAAGGATGCTGAACCGCCTCCTGCTGACAAACAGACAAAAGGTTGCTCACTTCCCTGAAGCATCTCTGAATCAGATAAAGGCCACATCGGAGAAACGACCGGGACTTCTTCACAGTCTCGCAATCGTTTTTTTTAAAAAGTCCTCTAAATATAAAGATACATCACAGAAATGGGAGAGTGGCTAACACATCCCAGCAACATGTCACATCTCGTCTTCTTAACCTTGGCAATAGCTCTCCAGGCTTTCTGAAGGTCTTTGGCTGCTTTTTTCCACTGACGTCCAGTCTCGTAATCAGAATCATCGAGGGAAGAAAACTTTCCTAAGAAAGTTCAGGCTGCATGAAGAAAAAAGATCGCCATACCAAATACTGACTTTCAAGCTCATTAGAGCTTAAAACTCTGTTTTTACCTTATATTCTGTATTTAAATCCATGTTTACATACATATTAATAAATGTTTCCCATTTTCCTAGGAAGATATAAAGAACATTAACACAAATTCATCTTCCAAACTTGGAAACGGTTTAGGATAAACCAAGAAAATGTCTTTGCTTGTATTTTTTTGTAGCCTGTCTCTCCCCGAGGAAGCGGATAACCTGAATTTGTTCACATGTTAAACCATGACTGTGGACATATTTTAACACTATAACTTTGACTATTGCACATTGTGCAAAGCACATGCTGGGAATGTTTTACATCAAAGTTGGCTGAGCAACAACTCTTCCTATTGACTGTGTGTGTGTGTTTCTGTGTTTGTAGACCAGAAATAGTGCAAATATTACATTATTATTATTAGATTATATTATATATTTAAACAAACTAAATTCACATGTGTTAATTTATGTTCCCAAACTGACCCTCACAAGTTTAATTAAAAAAAAGAAGCATTTTCTCCTTTGTTGTTCATATTTTCTGCATATCTCAGTCCTATCGTGCGTTTCATTTAACTGCTATTATAAAACTTAAAACCCTGTTTCTATCATAAGGTCACTGACAAAATGACATTTTACTGCCTCAAAATATCATTCAAGAGCTATGTACACAAACGATGATAAGCACATGTGAATTTAATCATATGATTGAGTGCAGTCCTTGGTGGCAGTGGTCATCAGGGCTCAATGACAGGCCACAGCAAGGAAAACATCACATGACACAGGCGGGCAGTTTACTGAAAATGGAAAATAAATGTGACACACTCTTCAGCCTGTTCATGTTTTATGTAGTGAAGAGGAGCAACATTTCAGCACTTGACGCCTTGATCAGTGTGGAGAGCAGAGCTGCCTGGGAGACAGAGACAGAGAGCAGGGTGGGTGGCTGGAGGGTTTTTTTACTCTTTTGACATCCACCGCTTTGTCACCAACGATCTGACACTCTTCTCCTTTTGTTTAAAAAAAAAAGAAAGAAAAAAAAAAAGCAGGGTGTGGAAAGGTGCATCATGGGAACCGAGGAATTTGATGACAGGAAGCATTTTGAGAGGTGGCCAGAGCTGACATTACACATCCTATTATGCAATGTAGCAAACAGCTGCCAGTGTGGAACAAAACACTCATCTCTTACAGGTTTTCTTACTAGAAGTAAAACGTCACACCGTCATTCATGTGTTGAGTCAGTTTCCTGAGTGATGAAACTTGATGTTTTTTAGGACACGAGCAGCCAACAGACTTGCTTATTTACAGAACTAAAATATCCATGTATGGTGAAGGAAATCACTCAGCAGATCGCCACATGGGAAAATCTTTGAAATTTTTACTTCAGTTATTGAAATTATTGCTTATCAAATTAATCGTGCTACTTCTTCCAGAAGAGGATGAGTGACTGTACGTGGATGTTGGTCAGGGTGCCGAATTGGGAAGTCTGCTGCCTGTGACAGCCACGCCCAGTGCTGATTGATCACAGTGGTGACTGATTCGCTTTACAGACACTTCCCACATATGCATCACACAGACAGGCAAGCCTCTGCAAAGCCTTCCTGGCCACATAGCACATGAACTCTCTGACATCACAATTCAGAGAAATCTATTGATCAGCACGCTGATTCTGCTGCCGGCAGTCACCACAAATTAAAGAGACACACCACTTTTCTGCTCTTTGCCTCAGAGAACAGGTATGCTCTGCGTCTGTCTCCACTTTGTTGGCGAAGGTGAACAAATCGTGAGATCAGAGGCTCTGATCTGTGACCTGGCTTGTAGAGTCTGGCCAGGGGAATGTGGGTGTGGGTTGGGAACACAGAGTTTAGGGGTGTGTGAGATGGGAAGTAGGAGGCGGGAGGTTTACAGGCAGATCTGGTGGAACGTGCTGCAGCTCATACCCTTATAAGGACAAACCTGGACAAATTAGCTAGAGCAGTTAACACCTGAACTCCACCTTCCAGCTACAGAAAAACAAAATGACCAAAAATTAAAAGAGCGCAACGATAAAGTTAATTCAGAGTGATCACTAAGGAATGTATCATGTGATAAAGGTGACAATATGTGAGCTTCATGTAACCTTTGGCAGAGGGCAGCAGACACCTGGGTATGCAAAGACATTAGGATTTCAAGATTAGAAGATATCTTTGCGTGTGGGAGTCAGGTTAAGACTTGTATCGGACTCCAAATATTTTAAGCACTCTCAGACACGCCAGGCTTGTATGTGTGCGTTAGTGAATTGCAAAAGAGCCTGGAAAAAAGCCCTCACCTGTGTAATGTGCTCTTTTTCGTACTTTTGCACTGTTAAAAAGTTTAAAAGACGCGTGAACAGTAAAGAGACACCCAGCATGGACACATATGGCCACTTGGACCCAAAGAGAATTAATTTGGTTTGAAATTTTTATCCACCTAATTATCACATCTTGGTGGTCTGTATCAGTATCCAAACAACTGCGAGTTTAGATAACTCCAGTTATATTCTACAAAAGCTACAACAGCAAAAGCCTTCAAATAATCAGCTATCGTTTCATTCTATGTTTAATTACAGTGACCAACATCTTAGATGTTGAAGCACTTAAACACTAAGATCAGAATAAAGAAAGTTATGAGGGAGAGACTCTGAAAGAATGAAAGTCTTCCTGGTTATCTGTACATCAGCAGTAGAGCTGATTGCTGAAGCCTGGGAGGAATTTTTCAGTGCTGCGTGCACACGGAGAAGTGTGCACGCGTGTGACAGTTATCTATGCCCTCCTTGGGGCAAAGGACAGAGGTGCAGGCCTGCAGAGGAAGGTGAGGGCTGCTGTGATCCCTCTCAGTCTGCAATTGTGTCTGGTCAGACCTCAACATAACCCATCATCAGTGCTCGGTCAGACAAGGGGAGGTTTACATGAATAAATATTCTTGCTCTCTGCTGGATGATTAGATCAATGAGGGCCATGCAGGCACAGGAACGTGCAGGTTATCACAGGTAAGTGTTTCACCACAAATTCTGACTTGTTTGTGATATGGGCAGAACAAAACAGCCAGATGAAACTTGCCCGTTTGTTGCATGATGACCTTTATATACCAAAAGCCCCTAAAGGAGCGCCAGCAGGAGACAATTACCTACTGATGTCCGAAGCACTTCTGTCTACTGTTCACACCTGACATCAACCCCGCATACCTTTCCTTTACTTTACTTCCCCTTTATCTGCTCTCGACCGGTAGCAGCCTGCCGATGACATAATCCAGGAAACCAGAAGCCGAGAGCTTCGTAGAGCAAGAAAGAAACTCGGGGAGAAGTTTTCCAACAGCAGCGAGAGGGGCCGATTATTACCATTTTTGGGCACGCTTGCTCCCATCCAAGCCCAGCCCAAACCAAACCACAGCTTACTCAGATTCCACAGCGTTTTTCTTCCCCCTTTTTCAAAGCAGAGGACAAGTATGGGGAACAGGGAGGGGAAAAGTAGCACCCATTCTCGAAACAGACCATTCATATTCCATTTGGAAAACGAGCATCAGCTGGGAGACGCGTGTAGAAGATCCGGACTTGTTAAGACGTCTTAAAGCTCTTTATTGAAAATATAAACTGTGTGCAGTTCGGGTTACAGCGCTCATAATCACTCAAAGGGGAAGAAAAGTAGCGTCAGAAGTCAAATGGCTAACTTTCTATCACTGGTAATAACACCGCAAACAACTTCCTAACTAGAAACAAGTACTCCTTTGTTAGTGGCGCTAGAAAATACGTAGAATCCGCGCGTAAAATGGCTAAATAAAGGGGAGTCGGAGGGAATTATGGTGAATTTACCCCCCTTCTCACACAAATACACTCCATCCCCGGGTTGTTAAGCATGGCCTAATCCACGTCGCATCATAAGCCAGATGACAGGAGGGGCCAGGTACACACCATATGCAGTCAAGCGCATGGCTGACATCTGTTGCGCCGAAAAAGTGGCCGTCCCGTCCGCCTTCTAATTGTCCCTCCTCATACGCTTTCCCTCCTGCTGCACGTAAAGTGCTGTTCCTACACACGGTCGATATACGTCTACAGCTCTGCGGGATATCCGCAAGTCTCTCCGAGATCTGTAGGCGAGAAAAGTTTTGGAGCCGCATTTAAAAGTACCCAGAGAAGCCGCACAGGTGATTTTGGCCGCGATAATGAGCCTGATAATTAAAGCAAACCACTGCCAGCTGGTTTTCGGGGCTGCCGTTGGTTGTCTGCTGGCTCCACTAACGGATCAATCTGGAGCCAAAGTCGCCAAGTGTACATCCAAGCGGATGTGTGGCGATAATATTAATGAGCTGTGTTATTAGAGCCTAATTATTATCACAGGCAACAATCCCACTTCCGCACGGGAGACAGAAGGAAGTCAAAGCCCTTACCTTTCTCTGCTGCTTCTCCCATGCAGGATCCAAGAGGAGATCCCGATCCCAGTCATCTTCTTGTTGCATATAGTCATTTTCTCCATCATAGTGTTCCATATTATACATGTATATATATAAACCTTTATATATAGACGCTCTCTGCTTGTCTCGTAAGTCCTCCGGTCCTCGGCGAGGTGATGTTTTTTACAGCAGCTCAGTCTACTCTCCTCCACGCATTCAAGACGGTGTGTGGATGAAATTAACGGTCCACCCCCGGCTTCCCTCTCTCGCTCTTTTTCTCTCTCTCCCTCCAACTCTGCCTCTTTTCTTCTTCTATCTGCTCTATTTTTTTTCCCCCAGCAGGAGCACTCAGCCGTAAGCAGGCAGGCAGTAGGCAGGTCTAGTATCGAGGAGCGACGGACGCAAAAACTTTGCCTCAGACAAATTGGAATCGATAGCAGACCGAGGAATCCGATTGGACGCCTCTGGGACTCAGAAACCGCCTCCCCGAAGCAGACTGGCTGCTTGGGCTGTCAGCGGTGAGGCTTTATAACCAAGGTTGACTGCCTGGGTCGAACCAAATATCTTTTGGCTTGTAATCAGAATAAAACAAGTGTAGTTTTTTTTTTTTATTTCAATTGTTTTATTTAAATAATTAGAGATAATTGTCTTTCCGCAAGTCAAAGTATCAAAAAGTTAAATTAAAAGCTGTGCATTCAAAGTGAAGTAGAGGAAATACCTAGAAACAGGGGCGTTTCTAGGTATTTTTTTTCAGCGGTGGGGGCTTCCCAGAAAATATTGAAAACAGAAATAAAATTATGGTAGAAAACAGGCATAGTAAACATGATTATCGTGCTCATGCGCAGCACTGTTTCCTGTTTCAGACTTCTTATGTGAAGAGTGGAGCTTTACAAGAAGGCATTTTGGATAATTGTTCTGCTAGGGAGAATTGAATGCATTTAAACTTTAAATGCATTAATGCAAGTAAAACCTATAATCCTACTTCAGTAGCTTAATAATCCACAGGTTGTATAAAACAAATATATTCCGAATATTTAATGCACTTATTATGTCCAGTAACACTTTTCAAAATGATATTATTGGATTATGATAACAGATTCATTGATGCATGTATCTCTTTAATGTTCCAGCTGTTGATGATTTTAATCACTTATTTATTGTTCTGTAGCTCGATCTACAATAAGGCAATTAATCTGCAAAAACACTAAGTAACAAGACCTTTAAAATAATGTAATGCGGTAAAAGCAGAAAGTAGCATAATATGGAAAAACCACGTGCTTAAGTAACAGTACTCCAGTCCAGTGGCTTTGGTGGAGGGGGCACCAGGGGACCAGTCATATTTTGGTAGGTTGTTTTGCATAGTGCATTGCAGTTATACCAAATGCCACAATTTGAATTTAAAAGGCTATATAGGTATTAAAAGTAAAGTAGTCCCCTCATTATAGCCTCTTAAATATCATGTACTGGTATTACTTTAAATGTTTTCATTATTGTTCAGGCAGTAACACATAAGCAGGATATCTTTAAAAATATTTACATCATTTATATTTTAAGCAAACTGGAATTATTTCTGTGACTGTAAAGCAAACATAAGGGAGTGGTTTCAAAGAGGGCTGCATTCATGTTGTGGTGTTGTGTTAAAAATTTCGGTCACTACTGAGATGCTGTCCAACAGTTTTGATATTATCCAGCAGGAACGAAGCTCCTCTTTCAATCTGTTTTGTCATAAGTTGGGATCCAATGACATGAACCAACTCCAACTAAAGTTTGGAGAAAATATTTGACATCCAAGTGGAGATCATAAGATCGTACAGTCATCAGCATAAAAATAAACAATCCAAGAGAGATCATGCATAAATAATAAAATCATTGCCAAAACGGATGCCTGTTCACACATCACACTTGGCAAATGCAAAGAATGATGCAAAGTGTGGATGAATGAAACCAGTCTGACACTCCATGCAAACGTGTTGTAAATTAGTGAGTGTGGACAAAGAAAAAACTGGTCCTACTAAACAGGGACAATTCTGTGGCTCAGAAACACTTCAGAAATCAGCATCTGTGACACAGTTCACTCAGCCGTCCACAATTAAGAGTTAAAGAAAGTTGATTTTAGTGACTTTGAATCTGGTATGGTTATTGGCCCGAGTTTTTCAGAAACTGCTGATCTACTAAGAGCTGAGCTCACTGCACTCAAATGGCCTCCACAGTCACCAGATCTCAATCCAACAGATCACCTTTGGGAAGTGGCGGAACAGAAACTTCTCATCGTGGATGTGCAGCTTACAAATCTGGAGCAACTGTGTGATGCTATCATGTTAATGGACCAAAATTACAACGGTGCAGAATGTTTTCTGCACCTTTGTAATTCTATGCCACAAAGAGTTAAGTCCATTCTTAAGTCCAACCTGGTATGAGCAAGGTTGGATAACAATGGGATGTAAAAACAACAAAATTAAATCCAACATCATGCTATAAAAATAATAGATTATTGGACAATGTGGGTAAGGGGGTTCCTTTTGTCTGAGCCCCAGTCCTGCTAATCTCATAATCCATCCATTTACTACAGTATGAGAGCTGTGAGTAGAAAGGTGAGTCACCACAAAGCTCCTGCAAACATGTGAAGAGATGGCCAAGTCTGTCTGCCTTGTAAGGTAAAACCGGCTATATCCTTCTCTGTCACACACACACACACACACACACAGAGGCATACACAATGCAGGAAAGCGGGATAGACCTGACAGTCTGGAGAAAGTGGAGCTCTTCCATATATGGACAAACTTCCAGTGGTAAGTGTTTGGAAAAGTGATGTCACAGTCAGAGAGAAGGCTGCCAGCTCACTGCCTGCAGTCCCCAGCCAAAAGGAAGCTGCCTGCCACTGCTCTGCACCTACAAAGGAGCAGAAAGAGGCATGCAGTAGCAGATCTGTGGCTCAAAGATGGAGGCAGTTGATTGCAGCTTTTACTAAAGAGTTTGGACTCATACACACTCCCATTAGCTAATTAGCCTACAGCCATTTGAAGAGCAAAGCAATTCATTACATTTACTTTTAATATAATTCCAGAAACAGCCGGCTAAAAGGTGAGACAGTGGTTATTATCTATGTGAACTAACTCTGTTTGATAAGTCATTTGCAGACTGATGATTTAATTAAGAAAGCAGAGCCTGCAGCCACACTTTGCATCTTCAGGTCTTGAAGCTAACAGTTATATGCTATCCAATGTTAGCTGATATTTAGCATGTCTGTGTAGGTTCTCAAAGTCAGGGCTAAAATTCAAAGCAACTGGACTTCTTCCCCCACTCCTAAATTTTGGATCACATGAGCCAAGATCTAAATCTTGGGGCATTCAATTTGAATTTAAAAATCCGAAATTCCAAGTTCCCAATCAGAATTTTCAACTGTTCCAACTCCAAAAGTCAGAGTAATGCTACCCCACCCCAGACTCCACAATCCAAGATGACAGCAGTGCACATAAACAGCAGTAAAATTCTACAAAGTCTGTACTGCCACTGTTGTATATTACTCACAACACAGACCAGCTGCTATCCATGAGTGTGCTGAAGCACAAACAAGTGTTACACCATATTGTTAGTGATCATGCCTCTAGTGGTGCAGTGGTTAACATGTTCATTTAGCAATCAAAAAGGCATCTACTTCAGTTTCACCCTGAAAATTCTCTTTAGGGTTGTGTCTGGAAGGTCATCTGGTGTAAAAAGCTACCTTTGTGGAAAGGAAGGAGCTGAAAGTAGTCATCAAGCTGTATTGCTAGTAATGCATAACTGGCTCTGCTTTGCTAAGGAGCAGTCAATGTGCGAATGATGGGGAAAGAGATTTCAAGAGTGCAATATAGGTGGCTGATATTTTGTGTCCTAGGGCACCACCTCTTTTCAGCGATGGTGTCCTTTCTCCTTTAGGTGCAGATTTAAAGCTCAGTCTTGCTTTGAGGAGCTGTTTCTATGTAAAGGCCCAAACTCTCTTGCACAGCATATGTTTTATTGTTTAGCTTGTTTGTGTATTTTGTCCTTGGGATGAACCAGATTTTGTCTGAGGCTGTTGCTGGGTCGGAAGCACGCCGAATGTGATGTTTGGACAAAATTTAGAGTTTTTCCGACAAACCTGCCACATAAAGAACGCCAGTGTTGTTCCTCCTGCTGTTCTGCTTCTCCCTGGTTAATATCTTTTCCAAGGCCAAGTTTAATAACCACATATTTTAAGTGCTCTCTTAATGTGCTGTGTGTCCCTTTTCTGTCCCTCGTGCCTAAGAGGAAACGCTCTCTGCTCAGCAGTGCGAGGTCATGATAACCAAGTTTTTGTTCCAGTGGGCGGTGGGAGTCCGAGAGTTTTTATATCTGAAGAAGTCTCTCAGATAAGACGTGAACTAAAAAAAGGAACTCTGGTTGCTTTCAATTAAAGGAACAGCACACACAATGCAGCCAAAATGATGGGAAAGTATATTTTGACCCTGAAGGGAAGTTGAGATTACTTATGACAAGCTTCTCAGTCTCTTTCCAGTTTTATGGTGTCCTCCTCTTGTAACATGAACAAGCTTTCCAAACTTTGAGAACGATAATGAAATCAGCTAAAGTGTGAAAAAAAAATCCTACCTGGAAAAAAAAGAGCATTTAAGAGGACATTTGTTATTAATGGATGTTGCTGCTATCAAATTAAATTCATGGAAAAAAGAAAGTAGACATTCTTTAAATTCTATGATTTCACATTTCTCAACGTAATAAAACAAATCATCTTGTCCTTAGCAGGTTTTATAATAGATAAATACAGCCTCGCTGTGTCAATCAAATAAACTTCCTCAGAGAGTGTGAGCTCCTCTAAAACACAGATGTTTTGGCAGTTATCCAGATATGTGTTGTTCTCAAGGTCTTTCCAAACAACTTGAAGTCCACCATTCCACAGCGAAAAAGAATATAAACAAGTGGAAAACATTCAAGACGGTTACCAGTCTTCACAGGAGTGGATGTCCCAATTTCACCCCAAGGTCAGACTATGCAACACTGCAAAAAAACAAACAAACAAAAAAAATCCAACCCAAGAGCTACATCTCAGACTCCCCAGGCCTAAGTCAGCATGTTAAATGCTAAACTCCACAAAAGCACAATTAGAAAAAGACTGAACAAGTATGGATTGTTTGGACAGGATTACCAAGAGAAAGTGTCATCTGTCTAAAAAGAACATGGCACTGCTTAGATTTGCAAAGATGCACGGGATGAAACCACAATACCTCTGCAACAAAGTTTTAGACAGATGTGACTGATTTCTGTCCATAATGCACATCACCATGTTTAGTGAAAACCAAAAACATAGCATATTAGCACAAACACCTCAAACCAACTGCCACAAATGTGGTGGTGTGACAATTTGGGCTTTTTTGCAGTCACATGACCCGGGCA